GGCGCATTAGCCCCACTGCAAGGGTTCATTTTTAAAATGCTCAGAGTTCTTCTTTAATAACAATTTGCCATTGTGCCAAGAAACTTATAGAAACAGGAGGTGGTGCTCACATAATCATTAATGTTCGAGCATCATGGTTGGTCAACACCTCTGGGGCTACAAACCTACAAATCCCAATACATGGTGTCTATATAGTTCATCTTCTTATTCTAAGCTTCAGTTACATACGGCCAACACCCTTGTGTCAGCGATGCCGGCTCCTTCATTATCACTCTAACCATCCACAGTGGGTGCAGACATCCCGCCCAGATTTTACATATCGCAGTATAAGAAATCTTATTGGGGGGAGCTGGGAATAGGGAGTCTACTGCACTTCAGAATAGTGATGTGCTTGGGCATGTTCGCAGCTCCACGTGCCGAGCCCGCCAGGAAGCTGACAGCACCAATCACAGGTACTGAGACATTATCCCGGTCCACAGTTGCAGAGATCGGGAAATGTCTCAGCACCTGTGATTGGTGCTGTCAGCTTCCTGGCGGGCTCGGCACGTGGAGCTGCGAACACACCCCGAGCCCATCACTACTTGAGAGTACTTAGCAACCTGCTTATCCCGCATAAACCAAATGATTGCAAGATCATCCTATCAGGCCCTCCTGGATATGTACTAGGGATGCACCGATACTAGTACTCGTCCAAATGCTCCAACACACACACGATACTGGAACTTCCGGTCAGAGGGAGAATTTCTCTGACCGGCAGTGCCGTAAGGGAACATGGAGCCGCCTTCCCTGACAATCAGGAAGACTGCTTACCAGCCAAGCAGCATTAAGCTAGCCTAACAGCACGGAGCTGGCTTCCTGGCCAATCAGGAAGCCGGGCGGCAGGTAATGACCCACTGCCCGCCTCCTGTTTTGCCAGGAAGCTGGCCGGTTCCATGCTCCCAGAAGTACCGGTACCATTATTTACTTATTACAAGTATTTATATAGCGCCGACAATTTACGCAGCACTTTACATTGCACATTAACATCAGTCCTTACCCTCAAGGAGCTTACAATGTAAAGGTCCCCATCTCACATGCATACATAGAGAGGAGCCAATTAGCCTACCAGCATGTCTTTGGAGTGTGGGAGGAAACCGGAGTACCCGGAGCAAACACACACAAGCACAGAGAACATGCAAACTCCTTGCAGATAAGGCAGAAGCGCTAACCACTACGCCACTGTGCTGCCCCATTATTCGGTATCGACGAGTACCGAAAGTTAAATATCCGTACTCGATACAGAAAAAAAAGACAGTATGGGTGCATCCCTAGTATGTACATTTTCTTATTTCATAATCAATTTAAAAATAAGGATTTTTAGAAGAAAAAAAAAAAAAACACACACGGGATACCACTGCAAGGTATTTCATTTTATATATATAAACTTCACATGAATGATTGTGTCCTCACTCTCTGCCAGGGACAAAGTCCTCTTCATTCATCTACATTAATGGAGACACGGGACACGTTCAGCTCAGGAGGACCGAGCCTTCTCAAGGAGGGTTAGCGGGGTTTCAGGGGGCGATGTCGAAATTTGGTCATCATTTCTTTCTTTGTTTAGCCACCAGGCTATCACTGTACAGAAAAGGAAAGCGTTAGACGAGGCCGAAACACTCAACTGAAAAAGGCTCCGATAAGAGACATGAACGTTCAAACACCATAGAATTGGGGTTTTTTGTTTTTTGCTTTGAACATTTACAAAAATTGCTGAATTCCCCCTGAGGGATAATGACAAGATCTGCAATATATACACGCTTCTGTCTGGCAGCAAATCGAAAACGTCCCCATTTATGTCAAATATGCTTTCAAACTATGCACAGGATCAGACAATACAATGATGCCACCATTTATATGAAGCAGATCCTATTCATGTATATTGTATCCATAACCGTGAAAAACATACAAAAGAATAGGGATTTATAGAGAGGTATGAGACCAACGCATGGATAAATAAGAGAAAATATGTATTCAATTGATGAGAACATACAGTACCACCAATATAGCTAGAAGAGGCATAAGCCCAGGTAACCACAACACCAACCAGATAGGCCTTGTTATACAGCCATAGTTCCAAGCAAATTCATTGTTGTACATCCAATATATGGAAAGCCGACAGCTTTCCATATAGGGACCGGACATGTCGGCTTTCCATATAGGGACCGGACATGTCGGCTTTCCATATATTGGATGTTCAACAATTAATTTGCTTGGAACTATGGCTGTATAACAAGGCCTATCTGGTTGGTGTTGTGGTTACCTGGGCTTATGCCTCTTCTAGCTATATTGGTGGTACTGTATGTTCTCATCAATTGAATACATATTTTATAGGGATGCACAGATACTTTTCAGATACCAGTGCAGATACTTGGCATTTTCATGAGAACTACCAGGGTTGCAGCTGGGACCGGGCTCTGGCTCTCCACCTCTGTCCTGAAATCATTAGTCTGTATTGTTTTATAAAAACGGTCACATGACAACAAAAATTTATCAGTACTTGTAAAGTACTCGGCAAGTACCAGTAGTCGTACTCGCAAAACTGGTATCTGTGCATCCCTTTATTTCTATTTATAAAAACAAAAGCCCTCCCCTTCCTCCTGCGCTGAAAACGAGGCTTGGAACGCACAAGCCCGGCGCCCGGAAATGACGTCACCCGCGCCGGAAGTGACGTACGCGGCCACCCGGTCTGGCCGTGGAACACGTCCCGAGGCCCTGAGAACCGGACAGACCCCTCTGAACGTTGGTCTGACCAGCCAAGGGGGTTTCGTCCTCCCGGTCCCGGCCCGCACTGGGCACTGAAGGGGGAAGGAAGCCAGCCTCATCTCCTGCAGCGCTAGGAGAATCCCTGGGGCTCACACAAGGTAGGCAAACCTACCCCTCTGCCCTACATAGGCAGGCCATAAACAAAAGAAGACTTCCCGGGCAGCATCACCACATGGAAGCCCCTCTCAGCGTTCTGTGACGCGTTCCCCAGCTTGACTGAGGAAACACAAAAGACTGAGGGAGTGGAGGAGAGGAGGGTCTTTAAGCAGATTAAGTGACGTGTTTCCTGTGTGTGGGGGAGGAGATTCCATCTCGTGATGCTGTCCTGGAAGACGATATGGGAAATCATACATATAACAGAGATGTACCAATCCCGGGAGCTCCGTGTGCTCCTTACACATGACAGCGGCCTCCTAACTTATGTATTTTTCTCTAGTCTAGTCTTGGAGCTGGAATAGTATCTGTACTTGTACCGAGTACTGTACTTGGTATCTGTGCAACCCTAATATTTTATCTTATTTATTCAATGTACAATACATTTTTATCCATGCGATGGTCTTATACCTCTCTATAAATCCCTATTCTTTTGTATGTTTTTCACGGTTATTACTTCACTAGGGTGAGAGGTGATGTTAGGGAGCCACTGTCGAGGCCATTCACAAGTTTTTTTTCTATATTGTATCCATGTATTCATCTAAAAAAACAAAACTACATGTGAATCTGAAGATTCAGTCTTAATTATTGCTATGCAGGGTGCCGGGTACGTTATATCTGCCCCATTACCCTTGTGGCTGATGCTTCAGCTTGAGAAAGGAGTCGCCTGAAGTCACACAGTTGCTGCCCTGTCAACCTTTGGACCTCACACGCTGTCCCCCAGCTTCTGAGTGTGCAGTGTAAAGCAGTTTACATGGTAGCAGCCGTAAGAATTAGCGTGACCACCAATACGGTGAAAAAAATATTTCATAAGCAAGCCTGTGCGACTATCTTAAATTTAAGACCGCATATTCCGATTCTCGTATCAGCCCAGGCTTCAGGTGGTGCACCTTAAGGACCACCAGGGGGTGGCAGCACCCATGCCACTTACAGGGAACGGAGAGAGGGAGACCCTCCATACCTGGAAATGCTACTAGACCACTGAAGACAGATAGATCCTGAGAGTTTAGAGACATCACGGCGGTACATACAGAACTACAAGCACAAAGACATTACACTGTGCCAGCAGTGTGACCAGGCGGCCGTGGAGGATGAGGCCTATTTCCTGCTTGGGTCCCCCGAGTACTCAGAGGCGAGCGTTGTCACTTCCACGGAAGAGCAAACTCCACTGGGAGCCAACAATTAAAATAGCTGCACAATATGTTCTAGCATGTTACAGGCAGGGACACGAGAAATGGAGGACTTGTATATCCTTTACCTGGCCTCATCACCTCCCGCCCCCATTACATTATGTCCTGCTTGCTCTTCCCCCCCACCCAACCCATAATAATTTGATTGCTTTGGCAAGAAAGAGAGAAAAGAAGCGTCCTTTGGAAACCTTAAAGGAGAACTATGGGGTCAGTGCTTTTCCCCATAGATCTCCTAAGGGTAACGGGAGGACACAAACTAGCGTCCTCCAAAGCTGAGTATACGGCGAGCTATAGGGGGGGGGAATCCCTGCAGGGAGCCGTGAGTGACAGTCACAGCTCTCTGCAGGGATAGATCGAGAAGTGAGCGAGCGGCGGTATGTGTTCGCTCACTTCCCGATCTATTGAGCCGACGTGTGTAAGATTCATTGTCACACGTCGGCGCGAACTATGAGGCTGAGTGATTTTCTCACAGTTCTCCTTTAAATAAACCGCATATCAAATAAAATAAAAAGGTAGAAACGAACATACCTTGCACTGCAGCATTCGCAAGATCCCAGGTAACAAGGGAAGAGGGGGGGGAAGAGACAAAATAAGGTTAGAACAAAGTATCATGGCAATATTCCTCTAAGTTCCTGTTTTATCTCTGGGACAGGAAGTGAAGAGCAATTTCCCAAATGGGAGAGGGAGAGGGAGAGGGAGAGGGAGAGAGGAGAAAATAAACTGGGGAATCTACCCCTTCTCTATTCCATCCCAAAGATAAGAAAGTTTCTGTCTATACATACGCCCCAAACACTGCCGTGAGACAGAGGGCAGGTGTCAGATTAGCTCTGGTTGTGCTTACTCGGTGAATGTGACATCCTGAAGATTGAGGACTAGATTATCAGAATTCAGGTACACGCGGTTCTGGGATGCAGCGATCTGAAAACAAGCACAGCATTATTGTGTTGGGAACAACCGGACAGACACCAATATAACTCGGGTAGAGGTTAAAGAAAAAAAACAAAACTATACAGAAACGTTTCTCCAGCAACTCACGACAACCAGGGACTGCCAGCTGGTTTGCAGCCGCCAATGAAGGTGTAGAAGGCGGCAGAATCTTCCCCAAAGCTGGCAATATAAACAATCTCTACCACAACCACATGCCCTCCCTACCAGTCAGCACTTCTCTTCACAGAGACAGAGGAGTAAACAAGGTCATTGCCCCAAATCCTGCCCCGCCATGGCTGATGTCCCAGTGCATCATGGGACATGTCGTTCACAGAGATGCACTGAACATACCAAAGGATGCTTTTCCAGCCGATATGGGTCCAAAAAGCACTTACGGTCTTAGCGATGCTCTGAGCTGCCCGAATCCGCCTCAGCTTCAGGTACCCGGGGTTCTTACCGAGGGCATCACCGATGTAAGACACAGATAAGGAAATAAAATGGAGCAAAGCACGGGAGCATGGACGACAACAGCTATGTCTGCAGTAAGGACTTGTACCCATAATGAACACAAACCATCTTCCCTCTGCTCACCAGTCTGATGTTCTAGCACTGGCTGCCAAGATGAGCAAATATTCAGGTGAGATTCCAACAGTCCCAACCACTGTGGCCTCCTTTTTGAAAGACAGACACTGGCAAGGTATCTTTTCTTTTGTCAAACTGTACCACGCAATCGCACCTACCGTGCAGTCTGGGGTGGGAGGTGTGTTGCGTTGCCAGTCATTTGAATGGTACCCCTAAACTCAACTACCACCCACAGCACAGAATGACGCCACAAAAAGCTACCGTAGCAACTTATTTATTTTTAATGAATCTGTTACTTTGCTCATTCGAGGTAAAGTGAAAGGTTCTCTTGTCAGGCCACCAACACCCACCTTTGCTGTTCTTCCCGTTTGTTTGATTCTCTTTTGGAGCCTGGAGTTGTAGCCTTGAGTAGGCTCTGTATTGGCCTGTATCAAACCCTACACACAGTAATGGCCCCTCCCCTCCCGGTGGTAGTATTTGGGCCTAGGTGTTCAGGGTAATATACTGCATGCTGGGAGGTAGGGGAAAGGGGTCATCACCGCTTCTCCCCAGATGGCAGTTTTTGAGCCTAGTTGTTTAAGGTAAAGTACTGCATGCTGGGAGGTAAAGCCGGCCACACACCTATAGATTATCTGCAGATTTTCTATGGTCAGATAGAAAAAGTGCATCAGATTCCTCCATCTACACTTCACTGTGTGTATGGAGGAAGCTCCCGCTGGGCCAAGCTTCAGTATCTTGCTAGTCGGCCCCGCTGACTCTCAAAACACCTGAACAATCGGATTGCATGCAGCCAATCAATTGCGTACGTCTAGACTTCAACACAGCTGCAATATTGCCTGGAGAGAACTGGCAGTTCAGTGCTTGCTTTGGCTCTATCAGTCCACCCGCAACTGTTCGGTCAGTTTTTGGCAGATTCTGGAGAGTTTATTATGCAACAATTCCTCATTTCTGTTGTGTGGTCCGATAGTGGGATCTCGGTCCTGGGGTTCCTAGGTCTGCAGGTGACAGGGAATGGTAAAGAAGGGTGGAGACACCCCCAAGGTGGCAAGAACAGCCAGAAGTCCAAAAGGGACAGAGCCCGGAACCATCCTAGAATGATCTTACCACCGGAGTACATAAGGGATAGAAGAAGCCCATAAATGGACCAGCCAATCAGACGCCACCAACACCAAATGATCACTTTCAGGTGGATTGATTGTTTAATATTGCAGACCTGGAAGAAAGTATGGAGCACAAAGATGGCAGAAGCCGAACCCCCGACACACACACACCCCCCGACACACGAAAGGATATCATTTTGGCTGCTGCAGCTTCTCCTTCCGCCTGAACGATCTTGTGTTTCTGATCTTGCTTGGCTTTCTCCACCAAAAACTGGGCACGCTGTGCCTCTTGCTGGGCTGCAGGTAAGAAGACAAAGTCAGAACAGGCAAACAGGGCTAACTGGTAGAATGTCTGCTTCCTCTGGAGCAGGAAGAACAAAACATTGAGCCTGGTCCCCTTCTCTGCTCCTAACATAGGCTTACCATGTTGTATCTGTAGAGTGATAACCCCGATTACAATGACCTTTGTACATCTTGTAAATATTAATTAGGTCTAAGAAGTACCCTTTGAATTGAATACCTCTGCAAAATCAGAAATGCTCTCCTGTGCCTTGCAGCTGTATATCTGCAGGGTGAGATATAAGGCACTACTGCCTCTTACTGCTAATCTCAGGAGATATGGAGTGAGATTTGGTGATGTCACTATTGTGCTGCTCAATGTTCTCCTTACTGGAGAGGAAGCTGTACCTGAGGACCAGCAGTGCAAGGATCTCCCTCTGCTCCTGCTTTATTCATGCTGTGGATCTGTGCTTCCTCTCCCTCTCTTGCTGCTTCTTGATCATTACCCTACCAGTCACTACACCTCTAGTCATGGGGGGGGGGCCGCCACATAGAGACACAGTGCAGAACGAGACACAATAAGTCAGTGATGGGGAAAGGTTCAGCTGCAGAGGGACCACAGGCAATAATGGTGACTAGACCTTTGTCCCCTGCTTGTATTCTCTGCACACAGCTTCCACAGTACAGGTCCTCTTTTAAGTTCAGTTCTCAGGGGCTCTTACCGACTTGCTTGGACTCCACAGCTGCTGTGTACTCCTTACTGAAGCTCAGTTCAGTGATAGCCACGTCATCCAGGATGAGATTGAAGTCCTTGGCTCTTTCTGTCAGTTCCCTACGGATCAGGAGGGAGACCTGCGCACAAAGGAGACGAGCCGGTGTCACCAACCAGAAATGAATCATGGAGGGTGGAGGTCAAACACCCCAAGATACAAACACTTGGTGTGATGGTCAATAAAAGCTACAAACACGTGCAAACCAACATGCTGCATAGTACTAAATGGCCCCTAACACTCCCCCGAATGGCCCCTAACACTGCGGCATAGTACTAAATGGCCCCTAACACTGCGAGATAGTACTAAATGGCCCCTAACACTGCGGCATAGTACTAAATGGCCCCTAACACTGCGGCATAGTACCAAATGGCCCCTAACACTCTCCCTAATACTGCGGCATAGTACTAAATGGCCCCTAACACTCCCCCTAATGGCCCCTAACACTGCGGCATAGTACTAAATGGCCCCTAACACCCCCCGTCCCGTCAGTTTGTTTTTAGCAGCCTTGGACCTGGAGATGCAACAGGAAGTGGGAGGAAATCCCCTATTAGACAGTTACCGCTGGAACAGGTGTCCCTAGTAGCCAGGAAATGTCACGGATGGACTTATTGCACAGGTGACAACCTATCACGGTACCACGCTTGTAGTCACTGAGCTCCTGAGAGCGACTCATTCTTTCACAAATGTCTGTAGAAGCGTCTGCATGCCGAGGTGCCTCATCCTATACACCTGCAGCCATGGAGGTGATTGGAACACCTGAATCCAATGATTAGGAGGGGGGTCCCAATACTTTTGGCAATATAGTGTAGCTGATAGAACTTGTGTCAAGTTGTCTGTGTCTCCAATACTTCCCTACTGTTATCTAAAACTACAAAAATAGGGCTCTGGCAATGATTGGGGATGGAAAGGGGAGGAGGGGGGTTGCTGTATGAATATTACACCTTGGCTCTAAAAACTTATTTTGAGACCATCACCTGTGCATCCACAAATACCTTCCCCGCCCCGTGAGGATTACCTGGGCTCTCTGTGTGATGAGCTGTGAAGCGTTGAATTTGGCCACCACACTCTTCAGAACTTCATTGACGATGGAAGGCAGGACCCTTTCCTCATAGTCCAGGCCGAGCCTCTGGTACAAACTGGGGAGCTCGGAGGCCAAGGGTCGGGACAGGACACGTAGCGTGATGTTTACCATCTGCAGATCTGTAAGAGGGCTGAATATGTTACATCCTGACCCCGTCATTAAAAAGCCCTTTCCCTCCAAGCCTGACTGCCCCTGGTCCATCCCTTTGAACTACGAGATAAGCAAAATTAAATACAAGAGTTCTGTGTATTCTTCTGCAATCTTGGTGAGCTTTGTGTATTTCTTCCAGATCTGTGCAGTCATCCCATGTGAGACTTGGAGCTTCCTGTAATAAAGACCGGTCACTGCTGCTCTCACTCCTTGTGCAGGATGACTGGTCTTGTCTCCGCCCCCTCATGTAATAAGGACTGGTCACTGCTGCTCTCTCTCCTTGTGCAGGGTGACTGGTCTTGTCTCCACCCCCTCCTGTAATAAAGAACGGTCACTGCTGCTCTCTCTTCTTATGCATATCTATCATATTTGGCATGGGGAAGGACTCCCCCGGTTCCACCAGGCCCACGCGGTTGGTACAGGTGAGCCGGAAGTTCTCATATCTATCATATCTCGCATAACTAATTTCAGGAGGCGTCAATGGCTGCCCCTGGTAATCCCCTCAGTACAAGTTTTCTTTAACTATCCAGCAGAGCTCTGTTACCCCAGATGTCGGTAACACACACAGAGGCGCAGTACCTAAAATGTAGACCCTCAGCGAGGATGACGTCCTTCTGAACTCCTCCGATACGGTTGAAGAAAATGGCTCTTTGACCTCCATCCACTGGAAAAAGACGCAGATTAGTGTTAGACGACGGCTGTTTATTTTACCACACTTCAATACTCACAAAGAACTTCAAAAGCGTTCGACAGCCCTCCACCCCCCTAAGCTGTGGTGAAACTACAAATCCTATCATGCAAGACTCTCAAAAGCCACAGCCATGACTCCCAGGGACATAGGCTTGATAGGACTTGCTGTTTCACCACAACTGGTGTGCCGAGGTTGCCTACCCCCGGGGTTACAGACTTAGAAATATGTTAATGGCAATAAGCTCTGGAAATTAATTTGGAGGGACACGCTCAACTGCAACATTGGAAATCCACCTTTAAAACTTAATTGTACAGCCCTGGAGACTGCGCAGCAACTTCATGATTGCAATGGCGAGGTGCCATTGCTCAGCACAGCCTTGTGAACTTGCTGATCAATGAGAATCTCTTTTATTCCAGGACGCCATGCTGGAACAAAGAAGGCTCAGAAGAGTATCCTCATTGGCCGAGCGCGGTCAGGTGACTGTGGTCAGGGCTTTTGTTAATACAACCAGCCTCCAACATCTTCCAAGACTAGCTAAGAATGTCAACAAGGGTCAGGAAGACATGTTCCTCTATATGGGTTTGATAAACTCCTGCACTGGCCCTAAGAAGCAGGAACAAAGGTGACCATACCTGTGAAGACAGACTCCCTGATTCCAAAAGCCAAAGCACCGGCTCCCAGCAGAAGTTTCAAGCCAATCCTCATACCGGGAGGTCCACCGGAAAACCGTCCAGCTATGTCCTTTAAGTTCTGTGCCATGGCTGGGGTGAGAAAAAAAAAAAGATTACATTTAGTCAATACTACACTCGGCAGTTTGTCTCGTCACCACAAGGTGGCAGCGTTTTCATTACAGGACCCGATACATTGATCCATTACTACAGGAAAGTCTAAGGATTCAATATATCAATAACAAGGCAAAGCTTGCCAAACCTGTGTGACCAATGAATGCTTCGTCGCTGATCCCTCGGCCCCCTCCGCTATTCGCCGCCGACCCCCCGGCCACTGCGCTATTCGCCACCGACCCCTGCGCTATTCGCCACCGACCCCTGCGCTATTCGCCACCGACCCCTGCGCTATTCGCCACCGACCCCTGCGCTATTCGCCACCGACCCCTGCGCTATTCGCCACCGACCCCTGCGCTATTCGCCACCGACCCCTGCGCTATTCGCCACCGACCCCTGCGCTATTCGCCACCGACCCCTGCGCTATTCGCCACCGACCCCTGCGCTATTCGCCACCGACCCCTGCGCTATTCGCCACCGACCCCTGCGCTATTCGCCACCGACCCCTGCGCTATTCGCCACCGACCCCTGCGCTATTCGCCACCGACCCCTGCGCTATTCGCCACCGACCCCTGCGCTATTCGCCACCGACCCCTGCGCTATTCGCCACCGACCCCTGCGCTATTCGCCACCGACCCCTGCGCTATTCGCCACCGACCCCTGCGCTATTCGCCACCGACCCCTGCGCTATTCGCCACCGACCCCTGCGCTATTCGCCACCGACCCCTGCGCTATTCGCCACCGACCCCTGCGCTATTCGCCACCGACCCCTGCGCTATTCGCCACCGACCCCTGCGCTATTCGCCACCGACCCCTGCGCTATTCGCCACCGACCCCTGCGCTATTCGCCACCGACCCCTGCGCTATTCGCCACCGACCCCTGCGCTATTCGCCACCGACCCCTGCGCTATTCGCCACCGACCCCTGCGCTATTCGCCACCGACCCCTGCGCTATTCGCCACCGACCCCTGCGCTATTCGCCACCGACCCCGGCGCTATTCGCCACCAACCCCTCGGCCCCCTTCGCTATTCACTATCAGCATAGGGCAGCAATCTGATGCAACCAAGTTGGATATATTTCCTTTGAATTTTTTAAAAGAAACAGCAACTCTGAAGTACTGAAGCCAGACAGACAATCGGGGGATTAGTATGTACTGGAGGAGGCCAGGGGTGGCCATCTACTTATTTATTCCATGGCAGGTTTGCTGTAAAGCAGGTGTCAAGCCTCAAGGTTATATGAATAAAGAATTGGGGTTAAGGATTGCGGGTCCCTCAGCCCACGAGGATCTCTGCTATGTATCTGTCCACAAAGAGCCCCCTATTCATATCATGGGAGGATTGTACAATCAGACTGTGACTTGTGTGGGCAGTGAAGGGCATTCAGCTCATTAGCATCTGACATGTTTATATAAGACAGCCAAGTTATGAACGAACTACACACAACACATACACACAGAACACCCAATAGGTCCCACATATATAATGCACTCCCCACTGTAAAGACACCGGGGCTTCCCCATCCAATAACACCTGTATACTGTCACCCCCACCCCAGTGTTCCATGCTGGACACCTATGTATATTGTCAGCCATCTCACCCCAGAGTCCTCCAGGCAGAGCACACACATATACAAGGGCCGCCACACCCCCCGGGTCAGGGTCCCCCATAGAGGACACACAGGAACAATGACCTC